CTGTGTATACATGACATCGCCATCCTCCTTACCAGGCACGGGGGTCTGGAACGTAGCCTCATGGAAGCCCGGATCGAATTTCTGAGCCTTTCCTTCCTGGCCCTCGGCGGGCTCCATGGGGTCGTATCTCTCAACGCCATGCTTCTTCAACGCGGCGAAGAGGATCCTCTCTGTCATTTTCAGACCGGAATGCAGCTCAACCAACTCCTTGTTAAAGCCATCTTCGGCAGGGGTGAGCTTATCGGCGGGAACGGCATTGAGAGCACGGTCGAGGTTATCTATCGAGTCCAAGAGGTCTGCAGCGAACTTTCGGATGCCAAACTGTTTCGAGGCGTTGATGTCGCGCTCCGCGCGGGTTTGGAGGTTCTGGAAGTCAGCGACTGAGCGGAGGTATTTGTCCTGGTGAAATTGCAGGAAGACGTCAGCTATGTATGTCCACGATGACAACCCAGGGACGGGTATGAGCTGCTTCTCGCACCTTCAATGCAATGATCTCCTTATTCTTCTCCTCGATCTCCTTCTGTAGCTTCTCCTCCTTGCTCTCTTCCTTCTTCTCTTCCTCCTTCTTCGCCTCCTCCTTCTTGCCTTCTTTATCCTTGCTCTCTGTCGACGCCCATCTTCTGCCAGCAAAAGACTGCGAGACAGAGACTGGCCTGAGCAACGGCGACTGGCCCTTCAAGGCCTGGAGTTGGACTGGGGAGAAGCGCGGGGCAGCGGAGCGGATGGCAGCGGTGGCGGCTCGTGAAGAGATGGCAGCCTGTGTCTGGCGGAGAAGGGATCGTTGAATCATCTTGGGAGTTCGGGCTGACAAGGGTGCAGCTAATTGGTATGAGAAGGAAGAAGCTTGCGGGCTGGACAATGGGGTGTAGGCCTGGTGTGGTGTGGTGATGCTTTCTTCTGACACTAATATGCACTTGTAATCGACGGAGCTGTCGATATATTTTTCTGGCCGCGGGTTTTTCCCACTCCTCCGCGGCGAAACCCACTTCATGCATACGAGGGGAGGGAGGGGAGGGAGAGTCGAATGATCCGCCCGCTGCCAAACCCCCGCAAGGAGTCTGGAGACTCTCGATCAGGCGACATCGACGTCGTCATCGTGAACTGTCAGTTGAGGTCGACAGGAAACAGGGCTCTTGTCGAAGTGGTGTCGAACTGAGCGACATTCTTGTTCTTCCAGTTGTCAATATCGGTGTCTACAGCAGGGCGCACGACGGATTGATTGAAAGATACGGCAGTAGCTCCGGGCTGTCCTCGCATTCATTCGGCAGACTCAACTTATCCTTCACCTCTTCGACGTCCTACACAGCCCTTCATCGCTTCCATCGTCACTGCAAACTGCTCGAGTTTTTTTCTAATTCTCAGACAGTCATGGTTGTGGCCTATCAACGCCATTAAGCGGGAAAGTGTAACGTACGCGGTTGTATAGTGTAGTGGTTAGCACACCGGATTTTGATGTCTGATTGAAACATTCCGGTAACCTGGGTTCGAGTCCCGGTACGACCTCACATTTCACTTTTTGCTTTTTTGCACTTCTTTTTTTGCTCCCTTGCCAAAGCTAGATATCTGTCTCCGTGGGTGTCTTGTTCTTGCCAGAGCACGTCGTTGCAATTCGTCTCGACTTCTTCAGCCTAGGGAAGTCTCGATTCCATCCAGCTGTTCGTGTCGCCGCAAATCTTCTTCGTCGATGGATGGATGGACGCCCGGCCGCTGAGATGATCCGCCCCGATATATTTTTTTGAGGCTCGACATACTCCGTCGCAAAGAGATCAAAACAACAGCTTCACGACGACCATTGATATACAAATTGAAGAAGGAGAATATAAAGAGAAGCTGGCAGACCACAGGGGCTGACGGGAACAGGACGACTCTGCTTTGAACGACTTCGAGGCAAACGAAAACAACTTTGATTCATCCTTGGCCAGTTCACCTCAATCATACCTCTCGATTGTCTAGCATCGCAGACAAATCTCTTTCACCAGCTCGCAATCTCCAGACTTGAACTCACTCAAACAGCTCATCAACAATGCCGCCACACTCCATACCACTTCTATCCCCCGCGGAGCTTGCATACCTATACACCTCCCTCGCCTCCTACCCTCACAACCCAATCCGTTCTGACGGCCGCAGCGCGACACAGTTCCGTTCTCTCAGCGCAGAAACTGGCATTCTTCCCGGTGCGAACGGCAGCGCAAGGATAGGCTTTGCTGACGGTACACAAGCTATCGTTGGCGTCAAGGCCGAAGTCGAAAAGACCGTGAAAGAGGGCGTCGTTGACTGGGGCGCAGAGGAAGAGCAGGAGAAGCGGGGAGAAGATGAAGGTGGTAGAATAGGCGGAAAGGAGAGAAAGAAGAGAAGACGGTATGGCGAGAGTTCGTGGGTGGAGATGTCGATTGAGATACCTGGTGTGAGGGATGATGATTCTCTGCCTGTGTATCTGGCTGAGATGATGAGGGAGACTATTGTCAATGCTGAGAACGGGACGGGCGATTCTCCTTTGTCACTTGATACAAACGATATTCCTAGGTCACTGAGAGAACGCTTGGTCATCAATGGTGGGTGGCATTGGAGGTTATATATTGATGTGAGTTCAATCCCTCTATGATTCACGGCTATCACAGAACATTCTGCTAATCATGTTCTGCTGCCAGATTCTTCTACTCTCTCCTCCCCTTTCATACCCTCTTCCCCTTCTGTCGCTCACAACCCACCTCGCACTCCTCTCGACAAAGCTTCCGCGCCTGACATCGAAAGACGAAGAAGACCCCATGTTCGACGACGACTGGGATGCAGCTGAATGGCTATATCCACGACCAACATCAACCACCTCTTCCAAATTAAGATCAAGAAACTTGATTCCTTCAAGACCACCAGTCACTCTCCTCGTCGTGAGTGTCGGCGAAAACGTCATCTTCGATCCAACACAAGACGAAATCTCGGTTGCCGACGCCGTCTTTGCCATCTCTGTTGTTTCTGATACCTCAGTGCCTGTGACCTCGGCCGATCGTGCACCGCTCAAACTCATCTCTATCCGAACAATCGACCCGCCTGCCAGAATGACCAACCACGGCATCTTGAATTCTGAAAACCCAGCTTTTCCTAATCAGGGGGAGACGGGCGGAGGGACGTTGGCTTCGGGAACAGGGATTGCGCCTACAAAGAGCGAAGAGTCGAAGGCTGTCGTTGATGGTGTTTGGAAGCCTAGGACGGGCGGTGTTAAGAGACAAGTCATTTCGAAAATTGTGAAGATGGTTATCAAGAAGGGGGGTGTTGGGGAAGAGGTCTTGCAGGGTTTAGAAGCGGTTGATGTTGAATGAGCGTGATATACAGCTCGATAATGATATCCTTTAGAACAGAAATGTGGTATGATCTATACTCCGTACTGCCTTTCAATATCAGGGGTTCTACACGCCACACTTTCTCAGGGGCTGGATTCATCTCAAAAGCCTGACTCCCTTATTGCCGTCCCTGTGCATGATTTATTTGATTTGATTCACTCAAGAAAGCTGTAATTGCCCACTAATGGAACTTCGACAATACGATGCCAGCATCTTGAAAATGATGAGGGAAAAAAGGGAAACGAAAAAAAAAGATGGTTGTACCGCGAATCGAACGCGGGTTATGACGGAGCTGGAAAGTAACCACAACGTCATGTCCTAACCACTAGACCATACAACCTATTTGCTTAGTCGTTTGCAGTTGGTGGCTTTATCAATGAGAGGTGGCTTACTTCATTCAGTAATACGAAGAAATGTCCTCATTATCACGATTCCCTGCGACTCACACATTACCTAGAACAGAATG